ATCGTTATTAGCATAATTTTTATATAATATTACTTGTAGATTAAATATAGGTCCACATCAGCCTCTGGCTCCCTTTAATTTAACCTATTTCAAATAAAGTATGTATGTATGTATGTCTTACAAGAGAAAATGTATTTAACTATCTTACTTACAAATTGAGGCGCAATTTTTACATAGAACGGAACATTAGTGCATTAAGCAAATGTGAAGAACTTGAAAATGCTCATTTATTTCTTGCTATTGTGTATGCGAGTAATGTTTCAACAAATCCAGATAAATCATAGGTCCAGGAGGCAGCGATTGAGACTTCGAATGTGCCTTTTGGTCGATAATACAATACCGGGTCATATATGTCCTGTTAATGTAAAGTAATCCTGCTCTTCGCTAATATGATGTCTTCCCACGACACTAATCGCATCCCCATTGTCGCAACATTTTAAGTAGAAAATATGTATTAAAGAAATCAAAGAAATCCCGGCATACGGAGCTGAACTCTGTCATATCTATAATAATAATAATTAAAAATATTTTATGAGGACGTTCCCATCGCTTAAAAGTGGTTTTCAGGCAACTCTTCAAACCGAATCTATGCGCACTGATGTTGACACGTTTCCAGATCTCGCCGGTAAAACCAACAATAGCATTTGGCTTTTATACAGAGCAGTACTCTTGGAATTCATAACAGGAACCATCAACCGAATGGCGATTTTAATGGAAATGGATAAATTTCAATTTTTATATGTAAACTTGTCAATCTGTTTAATTTGTGAAAGCAAAAGAAAATTTGCAATTAAAGTGCGATGGTCTGGGTACGGGTTAACTGCCAGCGCTTCGCAATACATGTGGATAGCGGTCTTTCCTTTATAAGCTGCTGTGTTCGATATTAAGGCAAAGAATATCAGGTAAACGATTATTCTTTTCATTCCTTTATTTCGTCTCATCCTAATTGACCACGTTGTATGCTCCCTGTGAACCGACCTTGAAAAACCACTAACGGTGAGTGAGGTTAGTAAATATTATACTCGGCTTGACTGAGAAGCTGTGGCTAAATGACCGGCAGTCTGATATTTTTCTCAAATTTTAAGGAATCGAAGGAACCCATCCAATTCAAATTATCGTATGTCGATTAAGAACTGCCAAGCGATACAGAAGAGCGGTATAGATCGCAAGTCTAACGCTTGGTTTACGCTCGGCTCGGAGAGCGAGACCATGGTTTGTCACACTTAGAATTTCTTTAGGTCGACTGCCGGTCACGGTTTCCAACTCACTAAATGACCGGTAGTCCGATACCTTTCTCAAATTTAAAGAATCAAAGGAACCCATCCCAACCCGAGCGATCCAGAAGAGCTGTATAGATCGCAAGTCTGATAAACATTTGGTTTTAATACGTTCGGCTCAGAGATCGCTCTCTCGGGTCCGCGTGAGCGCGGGCTCATTTCCCGAAAACGCGGCTAGTTATCGAACCTACTCAGAGATCGAGACCATGGTTTGTGACACTTAAATTTTTTTAGGTCGACTGCCGGTCACGGTTTTCAAATTACTAAATGACCGGCAGTCGGAGTTAAGGGAATCGAGCGAACCGATCATGTACAAGCTATCTTGCAATATGTCGACTGAGGAGTTTCAAGCGATCCAAATTTTTTTTTTCTATATTACAAGTATGAGAATGGATGGGTTCCTTCGATTCCTTAAATATCGTGACCGGCAGTCGACCCAAAAAAATTTTAAGTGTCGCAAACCATGGTCTCACTCTCCGAGCCGAGCATAAACCGAGCGTTAGACTGGCGATCTATACAGCTCTTCTGGATCGCTTGGCAGTTCTTAATCGACATATGATAGTTTTCTCTTGAGTGGAAAGTTTAATAGTGTCAGGGGTAGCAGTGGCATACGGCTTCCAATTATCCTTGTGTTCTATTTAAGGTAAACAAAGGGCCAGTGTTACGGTTTTTCCTGCATGGCCGCCGCATGGGCGCGTAGCCACAATAAAAACTCTAGGACCTGTAGGTTTCATTCAGTAGGGGTTAAGTAACTGTACCGACTCCTTACTAAACGAACTGGCATACTGTATAACGTAGGTGGTCAGCAGCCAAGACATACAATATTGGATTGCTATCAGTAAAAGAAAGAAGAAAGAAAACCTCTGCAGGGACCAGGGCACTTTATAATGGCAGACGTTGAAGATCATATACCCTGTTCTTCACATTCCGCTTGCTGCATAACCAGACGAGTTCAAAAACACGACAGTGGCTGGGCATGGGTGGTCGTCATTTGTGGTAGTCTGTGTAACGCGTTCGTTCTCGGATGTTCCTACAGCTTTGGTGTTATATATCCCTCGCTTTTGGATGAATTTAAAAGAGGCAAAGCACAGACAGGTAAATTTTCCCCAGTAAAACAGCGGTATAGGATGATACACTGTGCCGGCATAATTTCTAGAACGATGATGGAGGTAGAGCATCGAGGATCACCCAGAGATAATAGTACCCTTTTGCCAGCTTAACCTGTGATCAGACGTTCTTTTGGACCCAGTGTGTAACGTGTGTTACTGATTTGTTTCTCTCACCAGTTGGAGTGTTTTTCTCAATTAGACTGTTCACATCCCTTGATTAGTTTACAACTTGTTTAAGCCTGTCGTGATATCATGAAAATTACGTTCTTTTCGCAGGAGGGAGGGTGGTGGGGAACATTTTTGTTGCATAATAACGGGCATAGTAGTAACAGCTAACTATTTAACTACAGTCGAACCTCCCGTAAGCCACCACCCAACAAGTCAATCCCGGTCGCTTATGAGAGTTTAGATCGTATTGGGTCAACATTTTGCCTCATTAGCATATGGTTACTGCAACTTGCCACATGATTAAATGTTTCAATCATGCGAGAAGTCAATTTCGAGAAAAAATTCGGCACTTCCCATGGAGAAATGGCCGTCTCTTGCACTACCCAGGAATGCGATAATGTTGCAACAACTTATTATCCAATTTTCGCTCTATTATATATAATTATCTGTCAAGTGGTCGCTTACGGAAGGTTAAAAACAAAGGAACATTTCAAACTTTTAGCTCT